TTTTCTTGTTTGACACAGAGTCTTTGTTGCCCAGACTGGAGTGCAGTGGTGTGATCTTGGCTCACTTCAACCTCCACCTCCCAGATTCAAGTAATTCTCTTGTCTCAGCCTCCTGAGTAGCTGAGACTCTGGGCGCACACCACCACGCCTGGCTAATTTTTGTATTTTTAGTAGAGACGGGGTTTCACCTTATTGGTCAGGCTGGTCTCGAACTCCTGACCTCAGGTGATCCACTCATCTCAGCCTCCAAAAGTACTGGGATTATAGACATCAGCCACCATGCCCAGCCAGGTCTCTAACTACTGACCTCAAGTTGTCCAGCCTGCCTTGGTTTCCCAAAGTGCTGGGATTACAGGCATGAGCCACTGCACTGACTGTTCCAGTTCTTTTGTCTGAGAATTGTACAGGGTGAGACCTTTACAAATCAACCTGTTGTAAAGGATGTGGGTGCCACCTGCATGGACCTTGGGGGAGTGAACAAAGGGAGCAAACGTGGGAATAAAAGACAAAGACAATAGAGTATATTTGAAAGAAAAGATCAGGGGGCTCCTTGCTTCTAGTAAACAAGGGCCCTGAGCTTTAGAGCCCTTCACAATTTATTGGGTAAAGGATAGAGGGAGAAGGGGGTGGTGGTTGTCAGTCAGTGGCTTGATTTACAGCAGGCTTACAAGACTGCATTCTTTAAACAATAGACTCAAGATGTCCCAGTAGATAATGAGCACAGCACAGGGAATGATTGCTTTCAGCAAACCTTCTGGTGGCAGGCGCAGTCTTGAGTTTGCCCACATCCTGCATTCATGATAAATAGTTTGCTGTTTGGTCATAAAGCCTCCAGTGGAATGCTGAGTTGGTCACATCTCTCGGGCCATTGGCTCCCTATGTCTTCCCCTTTGTGTTTATGTATTACTGCTACAGATTTATCTAAGCATTGGCCTACCTAAAAGTTCTATTGGAAATAGGGGGTAGGGAGAATAAACAAAAGCAAAGGTTTCTGTAGCTGTAGCCAGGAGACATGTCTCTGCTGAAGCATTTGCTCTACAAGCCATAATTCTTCTTCAGCCTCTTAATTGCCATGGGGAATTTAAGGAAGACTCTCCTTGCAGGGTTTGGTAAAGATGTGTAAGTTGATAGGTGGCAATACCTAGCATTGGGTGTAGCCAATTAATATCTCCTAGTAATTGTTGAAAATCATTTAAAGTCTATAATGTGTCTTTACCAAGAACTGTTTTCTGAGGCCGTACACTCCTCTCTGTAACAATATTTCCTTCATAATGGTATGGGGAAGTTATTTGCACTTTCTCTGAAACAATTTTGGGATTCCATTTAACAAGAGCTTGCATTACATCTCTGAATAATTGATGTAAAATTTGATCTGTAGGAGCGGCCAAAAGAATATCATCCATAAAATGAATGATATACGCAGTGGGAAACATATTTTGAGGCTCCTCTAATGCTCTTCCCACAAAATGCTGACATAATGTAGGACTGTTAAGCAAGCCTTGAAGTAAAACTTTCCATTGATAGCAGGAAACAGGTTCTCTATGATTAACAGAAGGCACAGAGAAGGCAAATTGAGGCTTATCCTTCTCGTGTAATGGTAAAGAAACAATCCTTGAAATCTATTACTACAGGAGGCCAGTCTGTGGCTGCCGGGGAAGGTAAACCCTGCTGGAATGCACCCATTGGTTTAATTTGTGCATTAATAGCTCTCAAATCATGCAGCAATCACCATCTTCCAGACTTTTTTGGAATAACAAATACTAGTGAATTCCAGAGACTGACTGCTGTATATGTCTTGTGTTCAATTGTTCTTTTACCAACAGTTGAAGTCAATCTAGCTTCTCCTGTGTTAAGGGCCATCGGTCCACCTACACAGGTTTGTCACTAAGCCATTCTAATGGTAAGGCAGTGGGTGGAGGAGAAATATCAATGACCCCTGTCAGAAATCCTGACGTCCTAGCCCTTTTCTGTTTTTCCAGTTACTGATAACGGATTAGGGTTTCCTTGTAGGAATTTCCCTAAGCCTTTTCTACTCTGATATCCCATGTCCTTCAACATTTTAAATCCTGGGTTACCAAAGTTTTCATTCGTAAGTCTCATATCCCATGCTGTAAGTCTTGACCCTGTAAATTGATGGCTGTATTTGCAACATAAGGCTGGAAAGTACGTGCTTGTCCATCCGGACCAAGACAAGGTAAAATCTCAGCACTCTGTTGAATACTTTTAGCTGCTCCTACTCCCACTAGGGATGTGGAGGTTAGTCTCAGAGACCATGCTGGGCGCCAGTCTTTACTGGATGTTACTGACCCATCAGCTCCTGTGTCCATTCACCCATACAATTTCTTTCCTTTAATTTGCACTACGCAGGTGGGTCTGTTAGAGGCTGTGGGTTGGGATAGATTTCCCATGTAATTGTGCTCCCAAAGCCTTTATTTCCTCGTTTCTCGTTTTGTGAAGACAGGTGTAATTTGCAGGGACTAAGCAATAGCTGAGCAGTATATTCTCCCGGTTCAAAAACCCAAAGATCTTATAACATTAAAACTACTTGAATTTCTCCTTCATAATCGGAGTCAATCAGTCCTGGGACTACAGTGATGCCTTGCAAGTTAAGGTGGCTTTTGCCTAAAATTAGTCCCATGTATCCTGTTGGTAAATGTCCCCAAATGCCAGTGGGAATTTTGGTAGGTTTGTCTCCACCAACTACTGTTATTTCTCTGACTGGGAGATCTAATCCTGTACTTCCTGCTGTTTCTGGGGTGAGGGAATCAATGTTTCTCCTGGGACCCACCCCTGAAATGGGGTTGTGGTCTGAACTAAGAGTGACCTCATTGTTTGAGGTGCCTGGGTCCAGGCCCCCTTCTTGTTTCCCACCTTGGGGGGGCGGGGTGCCATTCTGCTGAAACCTTGAGTGGCACTGATTAGCCCAGTGATTTCACTTGTTACAGTGAGGACAGAGTCCTGCCGTTTTTTCCACTGGAGGGGGGCACTGCATTGTAAGGTCCTTTCTGTCCTGAAATCTGGCAGCATTCCTTTTTTCAAAGTCTGGTTTTTCTGCAGGTATAACATTTTTCCACTTTAGGGTTTGATCCTTTGCTGCTTTTAGATTTGTCAAGTACTAAATTAGCCATGCTTCAGCTAACATTGAAGAGCGATGAAGCTCAGTTCCTACATCCTGACAAGCTCTGAGAAATTTCCCACGTTTTTTGTACACTTTACAGGTGCCAGTGCACATTTACAATCCATGTTTGCCTTCTCAAAAGCTAAAGTTAAGGTTAACATTTCGGCAGCAGCAGTGTGAGGAATTTGACGCTTCACTGCCTCTTGTAATCTTGCAAGAAATTGCGCATAGGGCTCCTACAACCCTTGCATGATATGCAAAAAGGATTGTACTGGGACTCCTACTTCTGGAATTGTGACCCATATGCATTTAGCAGCTTGTGAACACTGCTGATAAGCAGGATATGGGAGTGCCATTTAATGTTCCAGGTCTGAATAAGGGTCATTACCCAATAGCATATCCTCTGTAATGTCTCCTTGACAAGCGGCAAGATTCTGTCTAGCTTGGTCTGCACAGTTCTTGCTAGTTTAAATTCCATGTCAGATATGCACTAGCAGACAAGTTTGAGCCAAATATTTTACATCAAAAAGTAGAAGGCACATAGCACCGAATACGGATTCTAGCAATCCTAAAGTGAGTGAGTTCAGTATTCCATTATTAACTACAGTCGTTTTTAATTCCTTCAACAACTAAACTCTAGCAGGGTATTTTCATGAATAAACTGGTGCAGATTGGATCAGGCCTTATGGAAATAGGAAAAGTGCAGGGTCCTAAGGGCTCTCCAGCTGTGGCAGCAGAGTGTAAAATTCTGTGTACTGGGGTCTCTATTTCTGCTCCCAAAGGAAGTGGTACAGTTGTTCCTGCAACTGAAGGGGGCGGTAAAAAACAATTTTTATCTTCCCTCTCGTGTTTTTTATTTTCAATTGGTGCTGCGGGTGGGACAACAGATTCAGATTTTTAGACTCAACCTGCTGCCCAGCAGAATAATGAGATAATGGAATAATGAGATAATGGCAGAACAGTACAAACTAGACTCCACGTGGAGAAGACAGAAGAATCAACTTTAAGACCTTTATGATGAGCCTTTTTTAATCCTTCTGCTCTGTCCTAGGTTTCCACATCAAGAGCGCCTGCCTGTGGAAACCATGGGTTATGCATAATAATCTCCTACAGAGGCTTAATGTCTGTGAATTAACCTGAGCTCCAGACTCTCTCAATAGATTAAACAACTGCACATAGTGTTTTTCTTCAGCAGACAAATTCTGCCCCATGTTACCCTGATTCAGAAAACTTACCGTTCCCAGTACTTTAGAGCAGTGACCTTGTATCGCTCTTAGTACCTCTTTAGGGCACTGACCTTGTATCTGCTGCCCGCATACTCATCCAGGGTTCCGCGTTCACCTTGTCAATTTCAGTTCCTCTGCTCCAGCAGAACCTTCTTTGTGTCCTCAAAGTCCTGTGTTCGGAGGCCACTTGTAGACATCCTTGGAGTCCCTGTTCTGGGTCACCAGTTGCCACCTGCACAGACCTTGGGGGACTGAACAAAGGGGGCAAATGTGGGAATAAAAGACAAAGGAGTATATTTGGAAGAAGGGGTTGGGGGCTCCTGGCTTCTATTAAACAAGGACCCTGAGCTTTAGAGCCCTTTGCATTTTATTGGGTAAAGGAGATAGGGAAAGGGGGGTGGTGATTATTGGTCAGCGGCTTAATTTGCAGCAGGCTTGCAATACTGCATTCTTCAAACAATAGGCTCTAGATGTCCCAGTAGATAATTTCAATGAGCACGGCACCAGGGAGTGATTGCCTTCAGCAAATCTTCTGGTGGCAGGTACAGTCCTGAGTTTGCCCACATCCTGCATTCATGATAAACAGTTTGCTGTTTGATCATATATTCTCCAGTGGAATGCTGAGTTGGTCACATCTCTTGGGCCTTTAGCTTCCTACATGTGGGAACACTCAGTCCTTTTCTGGGGATGTGATTTTTCTGGTTTGTGGAAGTACCATTATTAATGTCTATGCAGCTGCTCTCGGCTTTCTGATTTTCCCTAAGAGGCTCATCCCTGCTTCTTCCCAGAAGCTTTCAGTTTCTGTTGTATTTCTCTGCTCATAATCTCTTTCAGATTTACCCATAATTCTCTTGACTCCTGCAGATTCCCCACTGCTCCAATGCATCACCTCAGTTCCTTCTGTTTTCTGCACTGCCAGCATGATATACACAATATGCTGAAACTCCTACCAATGTCTGAGTTAGGTGAGGCAGAATCTGGACCCTCTGTCAGACACTAAAGATGCCATTATCATAGGTTGAAGTTCCATTCTTTTCTTTCTGTTTTAGAGAGGAGCTCTAAATTGGGAAGTAATGCAGGAAACAAGCCTTGTAAAAGTCAACTTGGATTCACTTCTCAGTTACATCTGAATGATCTGCAGCTATTTCAAGCTGAAAGGAAAATTTCTGGGTCTAAGCATATTGAAAAACTCATCAATGACAACTTCTCAGTTTCACTGCTTGAAAAAATTTCTTCCAGTGTCAAATCCCACCTTTTAAATAAACATAGAAATAATTTTGATGATGCTCCCTTACTTCCACAAGAACAGAAAGCACACATTAGGGAAAAAGCTTATAAATGTAATGAGCTTGGCCAAGTCTTTAGAGCATCTGCAAGCCTTTCTAACCATCAAGTAATCCGTAATGCAGATAATCCTTACCAGTGCAATGAATGTGGCAAGGTCTTTAGTTGCAGTTCAAAGCTTGTGATACATCGAAGAATGCATACTGGAGAGAAGCCTTACAAATGTCATGAATGTGGCAAGCTCTTTAGTAGCAATTCAAACCTTTCACAACATCAAAGAATTCATACTGGAGAGAAACCTTACAAATGTCATGAATGTGACAAGGTCTTTCGAAGCAGTTCAAAACTTGCACAACATCAAAGAATTCATACAGGAGAGAAGCCTTACAAATGTCATGAATGTGACAAGGTCTTCAATCAAATTGCACACCTTGTACGACATGAAAAAATTCATACTGGAGAGAAACCTTACAGTTGTAATAAATGTGGCAAGGTCTTTAGTCGCCATTCATATCTAGCAGAACATCAAACAGTTCATACTGGTGAGAAACCTTACAAATGTAAAGAATGTGGCAAAGCATTTTCAGTGCGTTCCAGCCTCATAACCCATCAGCTAATTCACACTGGAAGGAAACCTTACAAATGTAAAGAATGTGACAAGGTGTTTGGGCGCAAGTGTTTACTGACCTCTCATCAGAGAATTCATACTAGAGGGAGACCTTACGGATGCAATCAGTGTGGCAAGATCTTTAGTCAGAAATCAGACCTTATACGACATCGAAAAATTCATACTGATGAGAAACCTTACAAATGTAATAAGTGTGGCACAGCGTTTAGAGAGTTTTCAGACCTTACTGCCCATTTTCTAATCCATAGTGGAGAGAAACCTTACGAATGTAAAGAATGTGGCAAAGTCTTCAGGTACAAGTCTTCTCTAACCAGTCATCATAGAATTCATACTGGAGAGAAGCCTTACAAATGTAACAAATGTGGCAAGGTCTTCAGTCGGAGTTCAAACCTCGTATGCCATCAGAAAATTCATACAGGAGAGAAGCCTTACAAATGTAACAAATGTGGCAAGGTCTTCAGTCGGAGTTCAAACCTCGTATGCCATCAGAAAATTCATACAGGAGAGAAGCCTTACAAATGTAATGAATGTGGCAAGGTCTTTAATCAAGCGTCATACCTTACAAGACATCAAATAATTCATACTGGAGAGAGGCCTTACAGATGTAATAAATGTGGCAAAGCATTTCGAGGGTGTTCAGGCCTTACTGCCCATCTTGCAATCCATACTGAGAAGAAATCTCATGAGTGTAAAGAATGTGGCAAGATCTTCACTCACAAGTCTTCCCTCACCAATCACCATAGAATTCATATTGGAGAGAAGCCTTACAAATGCACCCTGTGCATTAAGGTCTTTAGTCACAATTCCGACCTTGCACAGCATCAGAGAATTCATTCATGAGAGTCCCTACGAACTGTGTATGGCAAACCATCATCATGAATTCTAGCATTAATCAACATCAGAGAGTCCATACTAACTGGAAATCATAAATTAAATGTGTGTGACACAGGCTTTATCAAGGCCTGCCAAATCACTAGACATCACCACATCACTGTGGAGGGTGAAACCACACAGATGGATTGTGTGTACTCGGGTCATTATTCAAGGACCATTACTATAGAACACAGATAGGATTTACACAAGAAGGAACTCAATCTCTAGTTCTCTGATATTAATCTATGATATTGCATTCTGCAGAATAATGCTAAGTCAACGTACGTTGATTCTCATGACATGATGTATATCAAAGGTGCAACGGTATGTAAATGACCAGTTTTATTCAGGCTACAAAAAATTCAATTATTTGGGGTCCGTAGAAAAGGCTAGTTTATGACTTTAAAATCTCTTCACGTGCCTTGCATACAGGCCATTCACTGTGGTTCCTGGGAAAGAATCAGTAGGATGACAGGACTGAATTCATTAGCTGAGGATTATTTCTATCCAGTTTCCTGATGAAGAAGGACATTGCCTTTTCAGATTAAATATTGTCTGATTTAGAGAGCATGGAGAAGTGGGCAGAGTAACATAAAACTCTGATGACCATCATCATACTGTTGCAGTCAACACACTTTCTCCCGACCTAAGTGCACAGTGCTTCAGTTGCCACCAACTGACCATGAAATAGAGTATGCCGTGATCTTAAGGCATGGGTTATTAATGGGAAGAGAGTAATAGGTTGCTAGTGTCTGATTATATAGTAGAAATAATGCAAGGAAAAAGGTAGACGCTTTCTCCGTTGAATAGCAGTAGCTGCTGTTTAGCAAAGACTGATGAGAAATAGTTTTTTTTTTTCCCCCCGAGATAGTGTCTCACTCTGTTGCCAAGGCTGGAGTGTAGTGGTGTGTTCTTGGGTCACTGCACCCTCCGCCTCCTGGGTTCAAGCAATCCTTCTGCCTTAGCCTCCTAACTAGCTGAGACTACAGGTGTGCGCCACCACACCCAGTTCATTTTTGTATTTTTTGTAGAGACAGGGTTTACCATGTTGGCCAAGCAGGTCTCCAACTCCTGACCTCAAGTGATACGTTCACCTCAGCCTCCCAAAGTGCTGGGATTACAGGCATGAGCCATTGCGCCCAGCCTCATTTTTGAAATGGAAAAAAGAACAAATATCACAGTTGAGCGTTTAATCAAAATGACCAGATCAGCATATTCTTTTTTTATATGACACAGAGTCTCACCCTTGTCACCCAGGCTGGAGTGTGGTGGCACAATCTCGGCTCACTACAACCTCTGCCTCCCTGTTTCAAGCAATTCTTCTGTCTCAGCCTCCCAAGTAGCTGGGATTACAGGTGCGTATTTTTAGTAGAGATGGGGTTTCACCATGTTGGCCACGCTGGTCTCAAACTCCTGACCTCAGGTGATCCATCCGCCTCAGCCGGAAAGTGCTGGGATTACAGGCATGAGCCACCGCGCCCAGCCAGATCAGCATATTCTTGAGTAGGATTCACATTTAGTTCTTGGCATTATAAGTTGCAACTGTTTGATTTAGAATGTATGTAGCTCTCATGTTTGTACTAATAAAGTTTCATTTTTCCTAAGTGAGTGAATCATGTCTTTTCTACCATCATAATTTCATCCCACCTCAGGAAGATGGGTACTTGCACACAGTAGTGTACCATTGGGATTTTAAGATTGGAGCATCCAGAGCAAGTTTTCTGGTTGTGAAATGAAACAACATGTCCTTTGGGTACATATCCTTAGGTAAATGTGAATATGAGCAATCATATTTAGTACTTGAATGATTGTGTCTGTACTCTGCCCTAGAATGCTTCTGTGGGTACAGTGAAAATCCCATAGCAGTGCAATTCCAGCATCCTATACCCTCAAATGTGTTCATCGCCCTTGGCGAATGTTCGCTGTATCATATTTCTATGTGCCTTTTTCTTGTGTGCCAAATTAGACCCATGGCACACACTTTCATTTTTATGAAGCAAAAATACAAATATGACAAATATTATGAGATAAAAATGTGGGGATAAGGTTAAAAATAGTGTAACAATCTCTTTTTTGTTCTTGTGCTCAGTGACATAATTTGACATTATTAATGTTCATAAATTTCCTCGTAAGGGTGGACACACAGAAGGGAATTGTGTTTTGCTTTGTTTGGTATTTTAACTTGGAACTTCATATATTCACCCTCACAACCTTTGTGGTAATTTGAACTTTTGCCCACTCCACTGGAACCTTGAAAAAAATTTTTTTAAAAATTTGAGACAAGGTCTCTTGCACAGGCTGGAGTGCAGTGGCACAATTAGGGTTCACTGCAGCCTCAACCTCCCCGGCTCAAGTGATCCTCCTACCTTAGCCTCATGAATAGCTGTGACTGCAGGCGCACACCAGCACACCCAGCTAATTTTGGGTTGTTTTTCGTTAAAGAGGTTTCACAATGTTGCCCAGCTGGACTGCAACTCTTGGGCTCAAATCACCTCAGCTTCCCAAAGTGTTAGGATTACAGGCGTGAGCCCTGCACCTGGCCTCCACTAGAACTTGTTTGACGTCCACCTAAGGTTTGACTTGGATATTGGGAATGATGATGCTATATACTGAAGTGGTCTGAGAATGTTTATTACATAATAAGGCTTTCTGAGGAAAGCAGCTTAGACTTCCCCAGTTGGTCCAAAAATGTCATGAAAGAACTGGGATAGGTGACTACTTTGGGTGTTATGATTGTTGAAGGGTAAGGCTGGGGTTTGGGTACATACTTGTGGTTTGAACTTCCACCCGGTGCCAAATGAGGGAGCACTTCTTGGTTGGGAAAGACCCCAGTTTTCTTGGTGGTGATAGCTGGTTACATTCCTCTTGGCTGGACATGTAGGTTTCACTGCACCTGTGATTGTTGAAAATGCTTGTGAATTACTGTTTAGTAAAGTGTCTAATGAAGTTGCCTGAGATACATTTTACCCTAGTTCCATGAAAATTATTGTAGAAAAGTGTTTATTATAAAATCAGTATTTGTTCAAATATTTATTGATATGTATTTATTATACAATAGATAAGATTTTACTAGAAGAGCATTTTGCCAAAAGCTGTGGAAATGTCGTTGTCAGATTATGGTATGAAGGCAACTTTTTTTAGGGCTGAGGGGTGGGGTGGCTCACACCTGTAATCTCAGCCACTTCGAGAGGCCAAGGTGGGAAAAATCACTTGAGCCCAGAAGTTGAAGACCCAGCCTGGGCAACACAGGCAAAAGCTCGTGTCTACAAAAAAATTTTAAAAATAGCCGGGTGGAGTCACGCACACTTGTGGTCCCAACTTTTTTAGGGTGCTGCAGTAGGGAGATCGCTTGATCCCAGAAGGTTTGAGGCTGCAGTCTTCCTTGATTGTACGACGTGTACTCCAGGCGATAACAGGAAGGAGACACTGTCTCAAAAAAATTTATTTTGTGCTTCTTTATATGAGTTACAATAAAAATCTTTTTTTTTTTTTTTTTGAGGGAGGAGTTCTCGCGCTCTGTCCCCAGGCTGGAGTGCAGTGGCCGGATTCAGGCCTCTGCCAAGCTCCGCCCTCCCAGGGCTTCACGGGTCCCATTTCTTCCAGCCTCAGCCTCTGAGTACTGGGACTACCAGGCGCCCCCACCGCGGCCCGGCTAGTTTTTTGGTATTTTTAGTAGAGAAGGGGTTTCACCGTGTTAGCCAGGATGGTCTCGATCTCCTGACCTCGTGATCCACCCGCCTCGGCCTCCAAAGTGCCTGGGATTACAGGCTTGAGCCACCGCGCGCGGGCCTACTTTTTTTTTTTTTTTTTTTTTTTTGGATTGAGGTGGAGTTCTCGTCTTGGTCGCCCAGGGCTGGAGTGCGTGGCGCCGGATCTCAGCGTCACTTCCAAGCTCCGCCTCCCGTTTTGTAGCCATCTCCTGGCCTGCCAACCTTCCAAGTAGCTGGGGTGTACAGGCGTCACCACCCTCGCCCGGCTAGGTTTTTGTATTTGTTAGGTAGAGAAGGGTTCACCGTGTCTAGGCCAGGATGGTCTCGATCTCCTGACCTCGTGATCCACCCGTCTCGGCCTCCCAAAGTGCTGGGATTACAGGCTTGAGCCACCGCGCCCGGCCACTAAAAATCTTTTTTATAAATTGCAGCCCAGATTCCTTGTTTAATACGTTTCTTCAGTGTCTTACTTGAGTGAAAATTTAGAGGCCACATGTTGTGTGGAAAGAAAATGTTGTGACATTAGTATGCAACACAAGACAATTGGAAGTACAAACTAGGTTTCCTGTAAATATGAAAAAGGAAAAAAGTGCTTTTACTATGTTAGAAGACTTAAAATCACATGAAGTGATTTCAGTCTTTCTGTTGTGATTCGGATGTTTTAGCTATTTTAGATTTCGGGATTTGGGGTTTTTTGTTTGTTTCATTGCCTTTCTACATAATTGGATAACTTTGTTAGTATCTGCAGAATGCCTTGATTAGGAAATGTGTTAACCCTGTGTGTCAATTTGGTATAATTTCATATTGCTTTCAGTAGAATCTTCCAATAAATGTACGTTGTATATGTGTCTGTATTTGGTGTCTTTGGTTTCTTTCATCAGCATTTTTTAGTTTTAACATAACAGTTCTGTGAATATTTTGACACGTATTTCTTTGACTTTTTTTTTTTTTTTTTTTGAGACACAATCTCACTTTTGCCCTGGCTGGGGTACATTGGTGTGATCTTGGCTCACTGCAACCTCTGTCTCCTGAGTTCAACCAATTCTCTTCCCTCAGTCTCCCAATTAGCTGGGATTACGGGCACGCACCATCACTGCGGCTAATCTTTGTATTTTTAGTAGAGATGGGGTTTCACCATGTTGGCCAGGCTGGTCTCAAACTCCTGACCTCAAGTGATCTGCCCGCCTTGGCCTCCCAAAGTGCTGGAATTACAGTCATGTTCCTCCATGCCCGGCTGACCTATATTTTTAGTGGAGCAATCATACATGGTATTTTATTTTTAATATCAGCTTTCATGTGTAAATTGCTAGTGTACAGAAATATGCAAGATTATTATTTTTTTTGAGACAAGGTCTTACTCTGTCACCAGGGTATAGTGCAGTGGAACGATGTCAGCTAAGTGGAACCTGTGTCCTGCAGCCTTAAGTGATCCTCCCACCCCTGCTGCCCGAGTAGCTGAGACTGCAGGTGCGTGCCACCATGGCCTGCTAATTTTCGTGTTTTGTAGAGACAGGGTTTTGCCATGTTACCCAGGCTGGTCTCAAACTCCTGCACTCAAGCGATCCACCTCCCTTGGCCTTTCAAAGTGCTGGGATTACAGGCGTGAGCTGCCATGCCTGGTTGATGAAATATACAAGATTGCTGTATGTTGATCTTACACCTTGCCACCTTTACATTTTTCTTGTTTAGAGATTTTTGTAGATTTTTTGGAATTTTCTACATAAAATTATTTCATCAGATTCTTACTGCTACCACACAGTGATTGGCTTAAAACAAAGATTTATTCTTTCACAATTCTGTAGGTCACATATCTAATATGGGTCCACAGTTCCGTGATTCTTCATGAATCTCCAGGGAAGAATTTATTTCCTTACCCTTTATAGGTTCCAGAGGCCACTTACATCCTCTGACTCATAGTCCACTTCCTCCATGTTTTTTTCTGAGACGGAGTTTCACTCTTGTGTCCCTGGATGAAGTGCAGTGGCGTGATCTTGGCTTACTGCAACTTCCACCTCCCCCATTCAAGCGGTTCTCTTCCTCAGCCTCCCGAGTAGCTGGGACTACAAGCACACCCAGACAATGTTTTGTATTTTTAGTAGAGACAGGGTTTCATCATGTTAACCTGAAGGGGTGGCCTTCCCCTCCACACCTGTGGGCATTTCTCGTTAGGTGGAACAAGAGACTTGAGAAAAGAAATGAGACACAGAGACAAAGTATAGAGAAAGAAAAAGTGGGCCCAGGGGACCGGCGCTCAGCATACGGAGGACCCACGCCGGCACTGGTCTCTGAGTTCCCTTAGTATTTATTGATAATTATCTTTACCATCTTAAAGATAAGGGAGTGGCTGGACAATAGGATCATTGTAGGGAGGAAATCAGCAGTAAGACATAGGAACAAAAATCTCTGTGACATGAATAAGTTTAAAGGAAAATGCTGTGCCTTGAGATGCATATGCAAACATCTCCATAAACCTTTTAGCAGCATTGTTTCAGCCTATCACATGGGGAGAAACCTTGGACAATACCTAGCTTTCCTAGGCAGAGGTCCCTGCGACCTTTGGCCGTGTACGTGTCCCTGGTAGTTGAAATTAAGAGAATGGTGATGACTTTTAACCAGCAAGCTGCCTTCAGGCACTTGCTTAACAAAGACACATCCTGCACAGCCCAAAATCCATTAAACCTTGAGTCACCACAGCGCATGTCTCTTGCAAGGACAAGGTTGGGGGTAGGGTCACAGATTAACAGCATCTCAAATACAGAACAAAATGGAGTCTCTTATGTCTACTTCTTTCTATATAGACACAGTAACAGGCTGATCTCTTTCTTTTCCCCACATTAACCAGGATGGTCTCGATCTCTTGACCTTGTGATCCGCCCGCCTCAGCCTCCCAAAGTGCTGGATTACAGGCATGAGCCACCGCGCCCGGCCTGCTTCCTCTATCTTTAAAGGCGAGATAAAATTGGTTTTATCCTTCTATTTGCAACAGATCACCAGTGTCCCTCAGGGTCTACCTGCATCCTTCTGATATTGAACCTTGTGGTTCTATCACTTTGACCATATAATCGAGGATAATGTCTATCTAAAGATCCTTAACTAGACCACATTTGCAAACTCCCTTTTGACATATCCAGTAACACATGTTACAGGGATGAGGATATGAAAACATATCCAGTAACAGGTTACAGGGATGACCTGTGCAACCATCATATTTTCTGAGAGTACACTATTTTTTTTCTCCTGTCCTCAAGCCACCCTCCTTCCTCATTGCTACCACACAGTGATTGGCTTAAAAGAAGAAAAATGTATTCTTCTACAATTCTGTAGGTAACATATCTAATATGGGTCCACAGTTCTGTGATTCTTCATGAATCTCCCAAGGTGCTGCGATTACAGGCCTCAGATACCACATCCAGCCTGTGACTTTAATTTCCTTTTCTTCCTTTATTTCACTGGCTGGAACTTTTCATATTGTGTAGAATAGTAGTGATAAGAGTGGACTTCTTTGCCTCATTCTCTACCCCTGGGGGAATCTTTATGTCTTTCACCAGAATGTATGATGGTCCTTTATGAATTGGTGGGTGATCTTGAGTTGAGGAAATGTCCCATGATACTGTTTTCCATACAGACTGCAGTCTCGTTGTTCTGAAAAATAACTTTTTTTATTGGCAACCTTCAAAAGTGATATTCACAAGACTTAGAACAAGGGCAGAAACCCCCAGACAGATGGTTTTTTCTTTTCTTTCTTTCTTTCTCTCTCTCTTTCTCTTTCTTGCTTTCCTTCTTTCTTTCTTTCTTTCCTTCCTTCCTTCCTTCCTTCCTTCCTTCCTTCCTTCCTTCCTTCCTTCCTTCTTTCTTCTTTCTTTCTTTCTTTCTTTCTTTCTTTCTTTCTTTCTTTCTTTCTTTCTTTCTTTCTTTCTTTTTCTTTCTTTCTTTTTCTTTTTGAGAGAGAGTTTTGCTCTTGTTGCTCAGGCTGGAGTGCAATGGCACATCTTGGCTCACCTCTGCCTCCCAGGTTCTAGTGATTTTCCTACCTCAGCCTCCCAAGTAGCTGGGGTTACAGGCATGCACCACCACACCCAGCTAATTTTTTTTTATTTTTAGTAGACGGGGTTTCTCCATGTTGTTCAGGCTGCTCCCAAGCTCCCAATCTCAGGTGATCCACCTGCCTCAGCCTCCCAAAGTGCTGGATAACAGGCATGAGCCATGGCACCCAGTGTTTTTTTTTTTAATTTTATTTCATCAGGCTGGAGCAGAGTTTAAACCAAGCTGGAGTTACCATTCCAGCTCTGGCCACAACCTGATCTCTACATCTTGGCCTTCTTTGCATTGGCTGGAAGCTGGCTCACTTCACCCAAGGGCCTAGTTCAACCACAGTCATGCTTTCCGCAAGTTTGAGCATCCCTCGCTCCTGGTGCTGGTAATGCCACTCAGTCACGGACTGGAGCATCCACTTGGTCCGGCACTTGCACAAATAGAAGCCGTAAACGACAATCTCGGTGAGGTCTGAAGACTCCAGAGCCTTCAGCATGAGCATGATCTTGCTCACCTGCTCGATGTAAGGGATTTGAGATCCTTCCGGGCCGAACATGGCTTCCAGCAGCCGCAACTGGACCAGGAGCACCTCTGAATCTTTCAAATCCTCAGGAAGTTTCACCCATGGCAGGGTATTTCTACGTCTGGGATTGTTCCCACCTTGTAACCCTCACAACAAAAATTATGCTCCTGCGCGAGCCGGGCCTAAGCGTTCATCAGAATGTTCAATTCCCACCAAATGTATGAAGATTACAATTTCTCCACAACCTTGCTTGTGAAGCAGGTTCACTGCACACTGGTTACCAATGTGTCTGAGTTGAGTGAGAGATCTTCCCGTGCACACACAGTAAGTTATAGGAAGTGAATTTCTTACTTACAGATTGGCAGCAAGGGACAACAGATGCCTGGGGTTCATGCATGCTGCTCCCGAAGGTTCAGGAAAACCACCCAGTGCAGATTCAGTCTCTGTGTGTGCTCCACTTGCATCACAGCTGAGGGAGGCTGGAAGGCAGCCCAGCCCAAGTTTCATGCTCCAGGGATGTATGGTGCGTTTGCCTAAAACAATGAAAGGCATCTTGTTCTGGGGGGACTGGAACAGATCCTGCCCTTCTCTGGTCAGGGTGGACAGGATCCTGTCCTTCCTCTCAGGATGTTGCTTTTCTAGAACATTCTATATTCATTCTTTTGAACTACAAGTGAGAAGTCAGACACAACTGGGCCAGTTCAACCCCACTTGAGTGCTGTCTTGCAGTCTCTCCACCAACTCAGTATCCCCTTTAATAAAGCTAGTCCATTCACGTCTGCACTGACCTTTCTGGATCTGGAAGAAGAGGCTGGTCTCAGGAGACTGAAGTAATACCTTGACTGGCAGAATCTCAGTGCAACATCATTGAGGTACAGCCAGTTGCATTTCACTAGGCTCAAGAGTATAGCTGCCTCAAGCAGGATAACCAGGCCTGCCTGGAGCAGTGCCATAGTCCAGGATCCCAGTGACCGAGGTGAGGAGTTGCTATTCAGGTCAAATAAATTTTCTTCAGGTGACCCCACTGTCTCCAGCCAATAGTCCTGCTTGTGGGTCTTATGTATTTGTGTTTCAAAAATACTTGAGGTCCTGATGTGGGATTCTTACCTCCTGTGCACAGTGACTCATGCCTATAATTTGAGTACCTTGGGAGTGTAGATAGAAGGATCACTTGAGGTCAGAACTTGGACACCTGGCTGGGCAACAAAGTGAGACTCCATCTCTACAAAGTAATACTGATATAAAACTAAAAAATTAGCACAGTCCAATGTCACAGGCCTGTACTTCCAGCTACTTGGGAGGCTAAGGTAGGAGGCGACCATGACCCCAGGAAGTCAAGGTTGTAGTGAGCTATGATTGTGCCACTGTACTCCAGCCTGGGTGTCAGAGTGAGACCCTGTCTTTAAAAAAAAAAAAAAAAAGAAAAGTCTTAAACTAAATAATGTATACCTATTTTTAACAGTTATTGGCTTTTTTAAAAAGAAAGAGTTGGTGACCTAACTTCACACTGGCCTTAGTCCTCTATGCCCAAGGTAGTGTCCCTAGGAAAGTTTCTGGAATGGAGCACAGGGTTGACACCTCACCCTCTGGAGTGAATGGGGAATGTAAATGAAAAGTATTTCTATTCTGTGAGCCACCGCGCCCGGCCTCGTCTTTCTTCTCGCATTCTTTTCACTCTCTCTTCTCTCTCTGCTTCCAGAGTACCTGGGACTTAAACTTTATTGTAATAGCAGGAATTCTCCTGGATCTAATCACCAACCGATTTTGCTCTGCCCCAGCAATATCAGTTTCCAGACTGCTGAGCAGATCTCGCTTCCAAAACCCTAAGACAGGATCGCAGAGTCCGGCTGACAGAAGCACAAGCCCCGTCCTGGGCCCGCCCTGTCCCTGCCCCGCCCGGTCCCTGCCCCGCCCTCGGCTCCCGGCCCCGCCTGTAGGATGCGCGCGCAATTGCCTGCAGACCCGGAAGTCGGGATCGTAGAGTGGACCTTTCGTGCGCTTTTTCCTGTAGACCCGGCAGTCGATTGCGTGGAAAGACCGTCTAGCCTCTGCGCGTGAGTTTGTCTTTGTCTAGATTAAATTTAGGCTGCCCAGTTCCTCTGTGCTTCTACACCCGCGATCTGAGGGTTCATGCAGATCTTGAAGTCCCCGCACAGCTCCATCCATTCCGAGTAAATTCAGGCGTCCTCTGGAGAGTCTGGAGGTGGCTTCCCTGCGTCTTAAAACCGATTGGAGGCTTCGGGGCCGGGCGCGGTGGCTCACGCCTGTAATCCCAGCACTTTGCTATTTTTTTTTCATTTTTTTTGGTAATTATTTCAGTCTGTAGTTGGTTGAATCCATTGATGTGGACCCCAGAGATACCAAGGGCTGACTTTAGACTCTATCTGTCGTCTATTCGCACTTAGATCGGCAGTTCTGTTTTTTTTTTTTTTTTTTTTTGAGACGGAGTCTCGCTCTGTCTCCAGGCTGGAGTGCAGTGGCCGGATCTCAGCTCACTGCAAGCTCCGCCTTCCGGGGTTCCCGCCATTCTCCTGCCTCAGCCTCCCGAGTAGCTGGGACTACAGGGCGCCCGCCACCTCGCCCTGCTAGTTTTTTGTGTATTTTTTTGGTAGAGACGGGGTTTCCATCGTGTTAGCAGGATGGTCTCGATCTCCCTGACCTCGTGATCCGCCCGTCTGCGGGCCTCCCCAAAGTGCTAGGATTACAGGCTTGAGCCACCGCGCCCGGCCAATTAGTTCTTTTTTTTTTTTTGAGTCTGAGTTTTGCTCTTGTTGCCCAGGCTGGAGTGCGATGGTGTGATCTCGGCTCACTGCAACCTGCGCCTCCCTGAGTCAAGGGATTCTCCCGCCTCGGCTGCCGAGTAGCTGGGATTACTGGCATGCACCAACATGCCTCTCTAATTTTGAATTTTTAGTAGAGGTGAGGTTCACCATGCTGTCCCAGACTGGTCTCCAACTCCCGACTCAGGTGATCTGCCTGCCCTCATCCTCCTGAAGTGCTGGATTACAGACCTGAGCCACCGGCCCTCTGTGCCAATATGTCCATCTCTCATTTTTGACTTATAATGTAACTAGTATTAGTGTTGGTCATTAATAATGAAAGACCATTATTTAATAGTGTATCTCTATATAATGGTTTTTTGGATTAATACCCTGTATAGAGCTTTTTGGTTCCCCTACCGGCTTGGTCCAATAGCTCACTTCTAACCCGCCACCAAATTGGTGGATGAGCTTTTTGAATGCATGAAAATGCTAAGAGAATATATGGCCACTGTGAGAATGTCGTGTAATTTTTCTGTAACATATATGTGAAATCAGATTAGCGAGTCGAGAAAATATAAAGATAGATCCCCAAAGAACATTCTGATGTGATAGGAGGTTTTTCAGGCATCCACCGGAGCTCTTGGAACATAGTACACACCGGTAAAAGGATTCTACTATATTCTGTATCTAGAATTGAGCGCTGTGATCCACAGAGGGCTGAGGGGCGTGTGCTCTGCATGAGGTTTGGTCAGGATGATTAAGTCAGTGCTTTTTTTTTTCGAGATGGAGTCGCACTCTGTCGCCTAGGCTGGAGTGCAGAGTCACAATCTTGGCTCACTACAACCACTACCACCGGGATTCAAGCAATTCTCCTGCCTCAGCCTCCCGAGGAGCTGGGATTACAGGTGCCTGGCACCATGCCCAGCTAA